CTCAGAACATGATATCCCAAAATATGGCACTTTGGCATGTTGAGTAATTTGAGCAAAAAGGACATTTGAAGGGCCTTAGAAGCAGGAAGTACTCTCTGGTCTTCTTCCCTCTTTCCTCCATTCCCCATTTGTCTCCCAAAGCAGGTCATAGAAGCCACTTATTCCCCCCAGCACAAAACAAAGTCTAGAAAGATTACTCTCTGATTTCCTCCCTTCTGTGCTTGAAAGTCCTCATGTGACAGGTGTCCTGCCCCATGTCCTGGGGGAAGGAATGTCATACAGAGGCACAGAAAAGGAATCTGAACAAACAGGCCTTGCTGAGCGCCCTTGCCACACTAGTTTTTTACCATTAGATCCCACCCCATTCTGTCCAGTCGTGTTTCTCCACCACTGTCTACTTCTTCCATAGGACTTAGCATCATGATACAGTTCTCTCTGCATCTTTGGCTTTTCATCTCTGAAGACTCCCATGTCATGTAAAACTTTGTTAATTAAATCTGTTAAGCTTTTCTCTTGTTGACCTGTCTTACTCTAGGGGCATCCTCCATGACCCCTTCATAGGTGATGAGAAGGTATTATTTTTTTCTCCTCTACAGGGTCCTCTTGACCAAGTGGTGTTTTCCCTCTGGGAGAAAGTGGATTGAGGCAGGAGAACATTCCTATCTTAGTAAAATTAACTTCTGGAAAATCATTGTGCAAAGATTAGTGACATGGCTAGTGTAGGGGAGAACAGATTTCTTTCCTCAGCTATCACTAGGTTTATGGGTGAAGTCCCTATAACAAAAGACAAATTAAAAAGGGAAGAGCACCCAAAGTTATTTAAGTTTTGTGTGACAGGGAGGCTTCGCAATAAAAACTCAAAGGCACGCAGAAAACCGAGTATTTTTATGGACTGTCAAGCAGAAGTATGATAATAGGACATAGAAGATCTTATTGTAATAAACTGGGGGATTTAGCAAAGCCTATTTGTTCAGGTGTGTGTGTGTGTGTGTGTGTGTGTGTGTGTGTTTGTGTGTCCTGTGACTTCAGAGTGAAGAACCCTCTTTTTCTCTGGGGTTAGAGAGGGAAGCTCTCTTATGAGGGTCTTTAGGATCTCTCATCTACTTTAGAATAAGGTCAGAGAATTCTTTTATGGCCTGCTTCAGGGGAGAAGGATAGAAAAGATCTCTCTTCTCTTCTTTCTGCTGTTTTCTAGATGCCTAGGTGCTATCCTGGGGGGCACTGTGTCCTGAACCTCATCACCTGAAACCAAAAGAGAAATCTAAGAACTGAGGACTGGTTCTGGTGATGGGCTACTGTATTCAGGAAAAGTCTACCCATGTCTTGGGTGCCCTGTCCTCTCCCCAGACAGTGTGGGTATGTGAATTAGGCAGTGCACAAAAGCAACCTCAGAATCTCAGTGCCTTAAAGCAGCTGACATTTACTTGCTCCTGGGTACACGGGTCCCCTGTCCTTGGCTCCAGAGTGAGAGTCAGATTCAGGTAATTTTGCACGCCTTTTGTTGTGCTCCACAGCACACGTCTGTGACACATTCTTCTCTCCAATAGCAAGACAACAGACAAATAAGTCCTCCACCCCAAACTGATGATTTGACTCTTCCACCCACATTCTGTTGGCCAAAGCAGTCCCACAGCCAAGTGCAACCTAAGAGAGACATGGAAATAAGCTCCACCCACTCTACAGGATGAAAGGCGTGGGTGTATTCTGACACAGGAAAGAAAAGAATTGGGAGCAATGCTCTGATCCTCATTCTGGTGGATGGCGTTAATCCCATCGCTCTCTCCAGGCTGGTTGTTCATTGACACCTAATATTTAAACACCTCTGTGCAACCATCGCCACAATCAATCTCCATATCACTTTTTGTACCCTTATTGGTGCATTACAATTAGACATAGTAGTGGGGTTCATAATGGCACATTCATACACACACATAACATAATTTGATCAATCTTATTCCCTAGTACCCTCCCTTTCACTCTCCTCCTCTCTCCCCTGATGCTCTTACTCTACCCTACTGATCTCCTTTCTATTATTATTATTTTCATATTATTATTATTTCAATAAGTGCATTATAATGATATAAGTAAGCAGGATTCATTATGGCATATTGTATATGGACATAACATAATTTGATAGATTTCATTCTCCAGTACTTCCCTGTACCCTCCCCTCCTCCATGCCTCTCAATCCTCTGCCTCTACTTGATCGGTCTCTCTTCTGTTTTTGTGAGAGCCCTCTCCTTTTTTAATTTCCTTTTTTCCTTCCCTCTCTAGCTTCCACATATAAGAGAAAACATTTGACCCTTGATTTTCTGAATCTGGCTTATTTCACTTAGCATCATGTTCTCCAGTTCCATCCATTTACCAGCAAATGACATAATTTCATTCTTCTTTATGGCTAAGGTATGGCAAATGAACTAAAGAGGCATTTCTCAAAAGAAATACAAATGGCAAACAAAATATATGAAAACTGTTCAACATCCTCAGAAATCAGGGAAATGCAAATCAAGCTACACTTTCATCTTACTCCAGTCAGAATGGCGATCATCAAGAAAACAATGAATGCTGACAAAGATGTGGGGGTAAAGATGCACTTACTTGTACATTGTTGGGGGACTGCAAATTAGTACAGCTACTCTGGAAAGCAGTACGGAGTTTCTTCAGAAGACTAGGAATGGAACCACCATATGACCCAGCAATCCCATTCCTTAGTATTTATCCAAAAGAACTAAAATAAGTGATATATTCATAACAATATTTATAGCAGCACAATTCACAATAGCTAATTTATGGAACCAGCCTAGGAGCCCATCAACAAACAAATGAATAAAGAAAATGGGTTCTATATATACAATGGAATTTTAATTCATGAAATTTTAGCTGATACATAGAAACATAAAAATCATGCACATACATATGGTACCATGTAATACCCATGTCTGCTATGTGTACACATTGTGTAAGGTTCAAAAAAGGATATGTCTTCAGTCATCATTTATTTAAGGTTAAAACATTCAAAATGCTTTCTTTTAGCTTTTTGAAATGTCCAGTACGTTCTTATTATCTATAATCATCCTACTGTGCAATGACACATCAGAACTTCTTATTTCTACCTAATTGTAACTTAGTGCCCATTATCAACCTCTAATTCCTACCCATTATCAACCTTTCCTCCTTCCTAGAGTTTTAATTTTAACCCTTTTTAAGTGTACCCTTCCATGGTATTTAGTGTATTCACATTGTTGTGCTGAAAAAAAATTATGAAGAACGCAAAGCTCTGGAACTAGTTAGCCTTAAGTAAATCACATAATTCTCAGTTTCCTTATTTGTAAAGCAGCATTAGCAATAGTACCTATGTTCCAAAGTTCTTGTAAAAATGGAATGAAAAGCATACCCATAAAGCCTTAGCATAGAGTTCCAGCAGGTAATATATGTTATTTAGTATGATTAGTTATAATGCTCAAGCTAATCATGTAAAATTAAAATAATTTCATGATTCCTACATTATAATCACAGGAATTCACAACATACTGTCTTTTGGAACAATAAATAATAGTAAAAAGATCTAGAAAAAAAATACATTAAAAGAAAACTTCTTTTCAGTAAGAATTCTCAAAGCAGGCTGGGGATATGCTCAGTTGGTAGCGTGCTTACCTCGCATGCACAAGGCCCTCGGTTCAATCCCCAGCACTACAAAAAAAAAAAAAAAAAGAATTCTCAAAGGAATTGCACTTGACCTATTTCCCGTATTTAAGTCAGGAAATCACTCTTTTTACTCACTGCATTTCTGGGTTTATGCTAATTCTGTAGATCTGATTTGCCTGTAGTTCGCTTCCTAACTTTCTGTCCTGTACACTTGGTTCTTAGACTACAGTGTACATAAAAATAATCCAGGAAGGACATTGAAATGTAGGTGGATTTTCCCTGGAGAGTCCAGGCCAGTAGGTTGGGAGCCCGGGAACATACATTTTATTAGATATTAAGGTGATCTGGGGATCACATTTAGAGAAACACTTCTATGGTGTAAGTAAACATTTGCATCTAGATTCAGAAGGGTCCCTAATTTAGTTACTGCGCTCCTGAGGTTTAATTTCTACTCCGAGTACATTTTTTCATGTATTATTTTATAAAATTCTCTGCTTTCACATAAAAGTCCTCAATACTTAAATTGTGATAGTGGTCACATATAACATTCGCTCAGTGTGTGGGTACCTCAGCTGTACTGATTATGTACAAATTAGTCCTTGATTGCTGATGATATTTTAGAAGCTCAAACACTAGCTCATTGATATTCAGTATTAACAAGATTTGATGCATGCATCAACACAAACCATGCTGAGAGCCCAGGCACCCATTTGTAAATACTTTTGATCATGTTCTCCCCTGCCTTTGTTTAGGCTGCTTCCTTCAGAACTGTCCTTTGCCCTCCCTCTCCCCTTAGTGGTTTCCAAGTAGCCCTCCATTGTGATGGACTCACCAATTTAAAAAAATAATAAAAGCAGTCAGCAACATTTACAGAAATCCAGATTTCAAGCTTCTTTTGAGAAATTAGAATCTCCAATTGGCAGGGCCCTGGGCTCTGGAGGGGCATGCACCAGCCAGAGAAGTTCCCCTCTTGTACTTGGGACATGAGCTCAACCTTCACTCCAGTCCCAGGCTCCTGCTGGCGCTTGAGGGTCTCTCAGCTTCCAGCATTTGAAACCAATGCTTTTGACTATGACATTTAAAAATTAAATGATGTCACATCCTTTGCTAGTGTTTTCTGTCTCATTTCCTCATTGATTGTGCACTATAAGAGGGAAGGAGAGAAGGTTTAACTTTTACCCTGGTGATGCACTAGTCACTCCTGCAAGTTGACTAATGGTCAGCCAAATACACCAAGGTTCCCTGTTTATTTACGTGTACCTACATCTTCTCTCTCCAAAACGACTTTGACTTCCTTGCAGTGTCTAGCCTAAGAATGAACAGTTGCTGAACTGATCTTTTAACATTTTATTTAGAATTTCTACTTGGATAACAAAGGGAAAAAAGAAAGCAAGGACTCCAATGATAAAATGAATGCTAAGAACAAGGAATCCTTACTGGAGGTAAGCTTAATTTTGCAGAATGGTAGAAAAGAAAAGCACATTTGCTCTATCTATTTTTAAATGATTTGCTCCCTAGAACAATGGGAAATTCTGAGACATGCCATGAAATTTTAACTTGGCATTTTAAAATCAAATTTTCACTAAATAATAGCTTCTTAAATTATTAAACTGTTTCTTTGAGTTCATTGTAATGAAGTATGGCTTTAGATAACATAGTTTGCTTTTCATAAAGGTGAGTTAGTAATTCTTGACTAAAAAGACTTGAATCCTCATAAACTCATCTGCTCAGTCATCTGTGTTTTATTACTTGAGTGCTCCACAGAACTCAGATGGATTTCTAAATCTTCTGAGAAGCTTCTCCAGTAGCCAGGTTTGATAGGAAGTGTGAGGTTTGCAGTTAGAGATCTGATACAGGATGAGGTTCTGCCCAGTGTGCTAATGGGCAAGTCTGTGAATGATAGTTTCTAGATTGTATTGGATTATCACGGAGACTTGGGAAGATGGGGAAAGCTCAGATGCCCAGATGGTGATCACTGTTAGGGAAAATTCCAGGAGTTCATTTGATGATTGTTTTTTGGAAGACTCCTAATGAGTTTTTCCTTAGTAACTATGTTAAAAAAATCTCTGCTGTGTTCCCAGCCCACAATGCAGATGAAAGTATCAGGACACAGGTCACAAATGGGTATACTAGAGCCCCAGACAGGTTTTATTTGCCCCTGACAGAAGGTTGATTCTTTTCTTGAGTTAGTAGATTTTGGACATCTCTAGAAAATTCAGAAGACTTAGTAGTGCTTTGGCCCACATTTCTCCTGGGGTCAGTTTGGTAACACTGAACAGAGCTCTCCTGTCCATCAAGGTTTATCCAAGCCCCTGCTCATGTTTCTCTTTCTTCCCAAGCTCTATCAAGCCCTGTACCAAGTGAACCAGGCTCCATATCCTTGCAAGCCGCTCCTCTAAATGTCCTGAGCACATGCTTGAATTTCTGGTTCCTGGGACTGTGGGCAGAGTGGGCATTTCCTAGTGAGATCCAACGGTGAAAGTAGAGATGTCTTCCCGCACTTACCAAACAAGACTCGGGGTTCAGTTGGAGAATACCAGGCACAGGTGTCCCTGACAATAAGGAGATAAAGGATTCTGAACACACCTAGCAGAGATGGAGACCGACAGACATGAAAAGGGAATATTTTCCTGACACCGCTATTTGTTTTAATCAGTGCTTAGAAATAAGTTATCTGTAAATCGGGCACTGATTATGTGATGATAGATACAATTGCCTGAACAGCCCTTATGATAGGAATTCAGCAGTATTTTACAGCTGGATACGAAGAAAATACAAAGTATGGTATGCTATGAAAAATAACATTGCCTGGTTAATTTGGGCCAAAAAATCTGAATAAATTTAATAGATCGACAGATCAACTAAAACTAATAATTGGGGAGAGCCAAATGTAACAAAAACATTCTCCAATTCTACTACATATAAATTTACTTGGGGATTCAAATAAAGTTATTTTGTATTTATAGAACCAAGAGAAAGAATACTGATAGTTATAAACAGAAAGCAAAAGATAGTTTGAGTTTTAAAATAAAAAGATAGAATAATATATAATTTTATTCTGTTGTTTTTTAAAAGAAATTTGTTAAGAATTATCTAATTTTATGCAGATTTTGAGATTTGAAAACATACACCTAGAAAATGTGCTTTGTTTTTCCTTTCTGGTATCATAGTGTTAATAATTTCTATCTCCATTTTTTGAAAACTGTCTCAAGAACAAAATATTAACTTATTTTATACATAGAATTATATAGTTTTTCTATTTATGAGCAGCAAAATAGTAATTTTTACTTACCTGGAAAGTAATCATTTTTCAATTTTCCAATTTATAATAACATATGTAGACTTTATTGAATGCTTAATTTTACATTATACCAAAATTTTACTAACAACCAACTTTATGAAGATTGGCTTATTATTCCGTTGCTACATGTAAAGGAACTGAGGTTTAATGGTCCATAGTCACTGAGCTCAAAGGTCAAGAAACTTTGGTGTCCAATTCAGGAGCCAGACTCTTGACCTCTGTGCTATACTTTCTTCCCTTTGGGCAAAAAGCATATACTGTAAACATTTGCATTCAATCAAAGTTGTAGACAAAATTGGCTTTCACTTTAAAGGCTAACATGAAAGTTTGTGTAAATGTGAATAAATATGTGTTTTACTTTTTGTGTTTTATGTCTTTTGAATCTCAATTTCAGGAAAGTTTCTGTGGAACATCTATCATTGTACCAGAACTTGAAGGAGCTCTTTATTTGAAAGAAGATGGAAAGAAATCCTGGAAAAGACGATATTTTCTTTTACGGGCTTCTGGAATTTATTATGTCCCCAAAGGAAAGACTAAGGTTAGCATGTTAGTTTTCCATTACTGTGAAAAAATACCTAAGGTAATTAACTTAAGAAGAAGAAAAGTTTATTTTGGTTCACCGTTTTGGAGGATTCACTCCATAGCCTATTGTGCCTTTGTTTTGTGCCTGTGTTGAGACAAAACATGATGGCAGTTGTGCATGGCAGAAGAAGGCCTCATCTCAGCGAAAAGCAAAGGAGAGGAGAGACCAGGGTCCCACAATCCATTTGAAGGGGCACCACCAATGACCTAACTTCCTCCCACGTGCTCCACCCCCTGAAGGCTCCACCCCCTCCCAGTAGAGCAACAGGCTGGAACCACACCTTTAACATGAGGGTCTTTGGGGGACATTCCATATCCAAACTGTAGCAATCAAAAAGAAACAAAAATAGCACAATAACAGCAGCCCAAAAGAAACAATTTAGCAAGAAGCATTTCATGGAAGTAAAACTACAGAAATGCCTCAGGTATCAATTTGAATATACCCATTACTGTTGAGATCTGTGGTTCTAATGTTTATACAAATACATATCCTACGAGACAGAATTACTGGAATACTTTGAGTTTTCCCATAACTCTCTCTTGAAATAAGTCACGTTTCAAAAATTAGGGCAGAAGCAGTTTTCTGAAGATTGTTTTGTTACTTTCTGTCCATTTATGAAGACCTTTTTCCTCCTGTATTCACTTTCTTGTTCTATAGTCCTTGTGATAAAAACTTATTTTATCTGGAATCATAGAGGTATTGAAAGTCTTAATAAGATCTTCACTGAGATTTTATCCCTTACACTCTGAGTATTAAAATTTTTTATTTTATTTTTTTATTGGTTGTTCAAAACATTACAAAGCTCTTGACATATCATATTTCATACATTAGATTCAAGTGGGTTATGAACTCCCATTTTTACCCAAAATACAGATTGCAGAATGACATCGGTTACACATCCACATTTTTACATAATGCCATATTAGTAACTGTTGTATTCTGCTGCCTTTCCTATCCTCTACTATCCCCTCTCCCCTCCCCTCCCATCTTCTCTCTCTACCCCATCTACTAAATTCATTTCTCTCCTTGAGTGAAATGAGTATTAAAATTGTACTCTGAGGTATATGCATTTCTCTGCCTAATTTAACAGAGTACTTTAGATATAGTTTAACTTTTACTTGTTGAGTTGGGATTATTATCACAGTCTATAAGCATATAGTAAATTCTTCTTTGAAATGAAATCTTTTTTTTTTAATATTTATTTTTAAATTATCGGCAGACACAACATCTTTGTTTGTATGTGGTGCTGAGGATCGAACCGGGGCCGCACGCATGCCAGGCGAGCGCGCTACCTCTTGAGCCACATCCTCAGCCCTGAAATGAAATCTTAACATTCATTATGCTCATTAGCTTTTCCTTTGACCTTTCTTAGTGGTATATTTCCATCTTTTGTTCATCTTTAAAAAGCTTTAGGATGTATCACATATCTATGTCTGGGATAAACCAAATCCAGGGTACCACCAAATGGCACATTTATGAATTGCAGGCTTCTTCTGATAAGGTTTAATCCACATTCCCAAGCAGGTGAAGCAACCATGAATGTCAAGGTCTGTCCCCAGTAGTGAGGAAATTTATAATCTGTGGAAGTGGTGCAGTAAAACCACTGCTTCTCTCTTAGCCTCTGGTACTCTGGTCTCAATCTTAGAACCGATACTTTCCCCTCTGGGCCATTTTCATTCCAGTCCCACACCAAGGATTTAACCATTGACCCATAAATAATTTTTGTATTATAGAAATTTTTTGTCTTAGGCATTTAAATATAAGCAATATTTATAATTAAGCCTTTAGAATCTATTTCCTATGATAAAAATTAGACGAGTGCACATTAGATACCCTTTCGTTGCTGCCATTGACATCAGGGTGTAGGAACTAATGAGCAAGTCCAGGAAAAGAATAAGAAGTATAATTTAGAAAAACTAAGCAAAAATTCTCATTGTTCCTGGTTGATATGATTGTCTACTTGATGATATAAGAAATTCGCCTGAAAAACTATTATGAGAAAAGAAATTTACCAATTAAGAAATTGTTTTCTTTTCCATAAGCAACATGCAAATTAAACATAATGCAAAAGATTCCATGCATAGTAGGAATGAAGAAGACAAAATACCTAGCAATAAACTGAACAAGAAATGTTCAAGATTTACTTAGCATAGAATATAAAATTTAATAAAAGAAGTGAAGTAGAATTGAATAAATATCAATGTACCATGTTACTAGAAGAAAAGATACATGTCCCCAAATTTTTCTATAAATTCAATGTAAACTCTACCAAATTTTCAGTAGGATTTTTTTACTTAAAATTCACAAACTGATTCCAAGATTAATCAGAAAGAGATACTGTTTCAAAACAGACTCCTAAAATTGTAATGAAATTTGGGCTAGAACCTGTTCTCCCAAAGTTCAAAGCATTAAATAAAAATAACACAGGTAGACAGGAATAGATCACACAAAACTTTCTCTCATAAGGGAAGTCAAAATTTGCATTTGCAGCAGTGGGTAAACAATATGGTATTCAGTAAACAGTGTTGAAATAATTGTATATCCATTTGGAAAAAAAATAGTTTTCCCCATCACTTCATGTACCAAGTTAAATCCTAGATTGATTAAAATGTCCCTAGGAATAAAACCATAGAAGAAAATAGCGGTTATTATTTTCATAATTGGGGACTGAGGACAGGTTTTTTAATAAGAAATAAAAATGCAAAATTATAAAGAAAAGAATCTTGACAGATTTGACTATATAAAGTTGTTTTAAATTTCTTGTGGTCAAAGATACCAAACAAGTTATTGAAGACTAGATTCAAGGTTGGGGATATAGCTCAGTTGGTAGAGTGCTTGCCTTGCATGCACAAGGCCCTGGGTTAGATCCCCAGCACCACACACACAGAAAAAAAAAAAGACTAGAGTCAATGAGTACATTTACAACATGTATAACCTAGTACGTGTATCCATAATAAGGAAAAACTTCAAAACATCAACAGGAAAAACATAAATGTGCTGTGGAAAAATAAGAAAGCCATTGACCATTGGCGTGGTGACACTATCTGTAGTCCCAGCTACTAGGGAGGCTGAGGCAGAGGAGATCTTGAGCTCACAAGTTTGAGACCAGCCTGGGCAACATGGCAAGACCTCATCTCGAAAAAAGAAAAATTTAAACAAGGAAGAGTTGTTTGTAGCTGGGAGTGAGGCTCAGTGGTAGAGCAGTTGCCCCGCATGTGTTGAGATCCTGGGTTCAATCTCCCACATGGTTAAAAATATGAGAAGAAAGAAAAACGGCAATGCTTATTAAGTGAGAATTCTCAGAAAAAGAAAAACCAATAAAGACTGAACAAAAGTTGTTCTATTTGAGGCTGGAGTGTAACTCAGTGGGAAAGCACTTGCCAAACAAGCAAGGAGGCCTGGGTTCAATAGGCAATGCTGATAAAAAATTTGCATATGAATGTATGTAGGTGGGTACATCTAAACATACATAGTAGAGAAATGTTTACTCAAAAAACATTTGGAGGAACATTTCCACACTGTAGTACCTCAGACAAGGAGTATGAAAAAGAGGTGGTGAAAGAAAATGTACATTTTATTATATTTTTAAATTATGACAAGTATACATTATTTTATCATCAAAAAAATTAAAACTCCAAGAAATCCAGAAGAAAATAAAAGAAAAAAATACACTACTATACATACAGGAATAATTGCATACCAAGGTATAGCAACCTTGCCCTTTGTTCTTAATTCACTGATGATGTTAAGAACTGTATAGAAGGCAAAGTAAAAATAATAATAATAATAATAATGGAACAAATGTGTAATTGAAGTGTAACCAAATGTGTAGATTAGAGGTTGTATCTTCCCAAGGCAGAATTTCGGTGGAAGAGAGGCCTCATGTTTCCATGGCAACCCCAAAAGCAGTAAAGAGAAAGCAAGAAAGAGATCCTTTTTCTCAGGAGGAAGTGCGTGGAGTGCATGATAATTTACTGAGCATCCCATTTCCCAATCATTGTTCATCCAGAGGGGAATATTTTAAAATGCTCCATCGTAAAATCTTTCACTGACTTAGAATGGAAAAGGCCAAAATGAAATTTCTGACCAGGGGTCTCCTCATCTTGACTCATCCAAAGCCACATCTGGAAGTCAGCTGGTTCTGACTCTGGGAGTCCTTGGGCTATAGCAACAGTGTCACCTTACTGCATTTGGGGGGCACGTGATCTTGCCTTTGTTGAATTTACTCCTTTACCTTTTATGCAGGCTTGACTTAGAGAAAACTAACTGCATGTGGTAGATGTTCATATAAATTATCAAAAATTCAATATTTTCTCTACTAAAATGAAATCCTTTGTTGTGCCACCAAGAACAACCTTGGAAAATTATTAACTGTCGTCTCAGTTGAGGTGATTTTTTTCCCCCTCTCTTTCAGACATCTCGAGATCTGGCATGTTTTATACAGTTTGAAAACGTCAACATTTACTATGGGATTCATTGTAAAATGAAATATAAAGCACCCACTGACTACTGCTTTGTTTTAAAGGTATGTGGTAAGAAGTCCTTCATTTAGATTTCTGAGCAATTTGATTAATATTTTCTTTTCAGGGAAAAAAAAGTAAAATTTGTATAGTTAACCATAAATGTAACATAGTATATTTTTTACTATTAAAGCAAAGTAGGGGGGCTGGGGTTGTGGCTCAGTGGAGGAGCGCTTGCCTAGAAGTGTGAGGCACTGGGTTCCATCCTCAGCACCACATAAAAATAAATAAAATAAATAAAGCAAAGTAGGGAAGGAGAAATCATTTCTTTTTTTTAATATCTTTATTTATTTTTATGTGGTGCTGAGGATCGAACCCAGGGCCTCAGAGATGCTAGGTGGGCACTCTACCACTGAACTACAGCCCCAGCCCCAGGGGAAAACATTTCTATCAGTTTGAATCATTTCCCCTAAGCCTGCTATCTGGACCTAAAACTTCAAAGTAAATCTACCTGGGATTCTGCCTCACTGCTGAAAATAAAAGTTCCATATTTTGAAAATTTTAATTTATAAATTAATTGATGAAACAGAAAAGTTTTCAGTTCTTTATTTATTAGACTCTTTTTCTACTGTAAGAAGTTTTTAGAAATTAAGAACTTGCCAAGATTTTCTAGAAAAAAATAGAAAATAGCAAATATAATTTTTTTAATTATTACTAGGTTATGAAACGTTTTAAGGTGTGTATTGTCAAAAGGTAGTGTATATTATCAGGTTTGGGGTACCATTTACAGGTTTTTAAATTGGAATCTCAGGTAAGTTAGGTCAGTAGATATATTATGCTTATAAACCACACATGTGACATATTGAGGATCTTTAGACCTACAGAGTTCTGGGCTTAGGACCATGGTAAGTTTTTGTTTCTGGTTGTTCTTAGTCAAATCAACCATATTTAAAAAGCAATTTATTTATTATTTTTAAATCATATTTAATAATTTTGAGACTCTGGAAACTTGCTATCATTTATTGTAATCAAATAATAATTGGTTGAAATTGTCACCTTCATTAGAGACTCATATTTATAGTTTTCATTTAGACATCTTAGCCCTCCTTCTCATTATGGAACATCTACTTTTAGCAATTTATAAATGATATTAATAATAACGAACACTATACCAACTTAATCATCCTGACTCTTCCCCAGTAGTTCTCAGTCAGGGTATTTGCCCCTCTGGAGAGACATTTTTGATTGTCAGAACTTGGGGCACTGGTATCTGCTGAGAGCAGCCAGGGTCCCTGCTAAGTATCCCTCAAAGTGCAAGACAAGCCCAGACCAAAGAATTATCTGTCTCCAAATGTCAGCTGTGCTGCTGTTGAGAACCTCTACCCTAGACAAAATAGCCCAGAATAACTGCTGTGAAGGGACTGAAGGAAGGGAAAGGGATGCATCCATTCACTCACTCACCCACTCATTCATTTAATATTTGTTGAATGACAGCTATTTTCTGGGCACTGTCCCAGGTGGTGGGAACACAGAAGATACATGGAGTATGTATTCCATGTAAGGGAAGTGGTTATGAACAAAACACAAGTAATGTGTGCAGGTAATTAATAAGACTGTGGATTGGTATGAGGCAGAGTAGGGGACAGAGGGTGCCAGGGCTTGTTTGGATGGGATAATCAAAGAAAGACAGTGACATTTGAGAAAAGATATGAATGAAGTGATACAACAAGAATCCCCTGGAGGAGGAGCATTCCAGGAACAAAACCAGTTAGAACAAAGTTCCCAGGAAAGGGTCAGTCTAGGTCAGAAGGAAGAAGAAGGTGGCTTCCGGTTCTTACATTTCTTGTCTGTTCCTTGTATAGGAAGGTTAGTAAGAATAATGGAACATTTTTTTATAGATGTGGAATCTGAGCACAGAGACTCCCTGGACACTAAGTGGCTAAGTCATGATGAGAACCCAGATTGGTGGCTCCAAGGCAGTTCTCTCTGTTCACTAAGCCACCACAGACCTGGACACAAAGCATCATCTGTAACCCTTCTATCAACAATGCTACCTTCCTTGAACCATGTCTTCTCTGCCTTCCTATCTGACCTGGTGGTCCTTGCTTGGAATTCTAAGACTCTGAGTGATTACCAAAATGGAGGTTCTAAATTCCATGGGGACATTGCAACACAGTTCATCTCTGAACTGTTGTCCACATTTCTTAAATAGGGAAAAGGTTTGAGGAAGAGTTTCTGAAATGCTGCCCAGTAAATTAGCTGAACTGAAATCACTGGAGACTTGTTAAAATGCAGGTTGCCAGGCTCTGGACCCACTAAATCAAAATATTTAAGGATGAAGCACAGCAATTATTCTTTCCTAAGCACGGTAAAGTTTCGCATGTAGTATTAACATGTGTCTCAGTACTAAATAACAATAGTCAAGGCTTAGCTGGTGAAGAAATATCCTTTGAAGTGGCAGATGGAAGGGACATCTAGGAAAAGAGAGCAAGGACCAAATCCCAAGACTAGGATCCAGAGACCAGAACAGGCATGTCTAGCAAGAGAAAGACAAGATCTCAGACTAGAGGTCCCTGGATGGGGATTTAGACAGTCCACAGGATAGAGACTGTATTTTTTATCCTGTTTCACAAGTTTGTGACGAGGTCCTATAATCCTAAAATCATCTAAATTCTCTGACCTGGGAAACCAGCTTCTCCAGGGCTGCACCAAGAATTGCAATTCTGAACTAGAACTTTTAAAAAGCTCTCCTATATAAGGCTTGGGTCTTCAGGGCAGAGTTAGGAACCCCCTGGAAAGAAGAGAGGCTCAGAGGTAGAGAAGCCAGCAGAACCCAGTGGAACCGAACAACCCCAGAAGAATGAGCATTTCCTTTTTTACAGGATGATGATCAGTTCTGTTCTTGAGCCAATTTCTTTATGCTCAGTCACCCTGCACATTCTGCTCGTAGGCATACGTCTTAGTTCCTTCCCAAAATATTAAGAATTTTTATCAATTTGCTGAGTTAAAGAGTCTATAAAGGTTTGGCGAACGTAATTTGTTTATGAACACTGTGGTCACTCATTTTCCTAGAATTTAAAAGAAAAATTTCTTGATTTTCAAATATTTCATTCGAGTGAGCCAATTTCTAAAATGCAAAAAAAAAAAAAATATGTGCAGCTTACAAGAGAGGTTTGGGAATACAGAGAGACATATTGTGTGATTGCGTGATTCCATGGACGTGCACTGACTCATAAATTCAGGCCAGAGTTTCTTATTGAGTATGAGTTCAATGACTGTGGCAGTCCATGGTGCCTGGGGGTAGAGGTGCTATCAGAAAAATTGGATTATGAATCCTGGCCTTATCATCTACTAACTGTGACCTTAGGGACACCATTGAGACTCTAAGCCTCATTGCCTTATCTTCAAAGTAGAGACATGAGTACCCAATCCTTCTTTTAAGAAGATTGAAATTGATCAAATTATGTTATGTACATACACAAACAGGCCACAATGAAACCCACTATTCTGTATTTTTATTATGTGTTATTATTATGCACCAATAAAAAAAAGTTTTCAAAAAAGTAAATAAAATAAGGACCTAAGACCATTAGTACAATGTCTAGAAGCATATCAACTCTTAACAAGTTGATTGTTATTACTTCACTCTAGTATTAAATAATTTATTTGTATGGCTGATCATTAAGGGGCCTTGTGCATGTTAGTCAAGCACTCTGCCACTGAACTCTACTTTCAGCCCCTAAATAATTGTTTTGACTAGACAGTGGTTCTCAAACTTTACTCTGCATTGGGATCACTTAGATAGTTGTGAAGTTGCAGACTGCTGGGTCTCAGAGTCCCTGTTTCAGAAGTCCAGGATCAGGCCCAGGAATTTGCTCTTCTAACAAGTTTGCAGGTGATACAGATGTTATCAATCCAGGACCACGTCTGAGAAGGCAGTATGGGCATGACTGGTCCCAAAGAGGCTGTGACACAAGGCACAGACACGGGAAGCTAAAGGAAGTGCTCAGTTACCCAAGAATCATTGCCTTCCCTGCACTGTCACTCTTAAAGCACATTCCTATCCTGAGCTTACGGGAAGCTGCTCCTTTGTAAATTCTTTCTCACCCTGTTCTGCAGCGAAACTTGTACAGCAGAGGAAGGAAATGTCTTCTGGGAAAAATTATGTTTTTATGGAGATCTGTTAAGAGATGGTGGAGTCCCATGGAAGGAGCACTGGAATTCTGCCATATGGCTCACCTATTACCTACCATTCATTCTGCTAGATTTTCTTCACATGACTTTCATCATGTGAAATTATATTACTGCTTTGCATTTTCATTGGCTTTCTCCCTGAGCAGGGAATTTTTTATTATCGCCACCATTTTGTTCCAGAGCCTCAGTCAGTATTTGACACATTGCAAGAGCTCAGTATATATCCCATGAAAGGTTGGATGGGTGGATGGATGGGTGGATGGATAGACAGGCCCCCTTTCCCACTGTCATCTTTGAAACCTGGTTCTAGCATTGATAACATTAAGGGTAATAGTTGCTAATAAGTAATAAGTTCTTAATAAGTAATAAGTTCAGGGGTCATGTTACTGAGTCTTTTTCTCACATTATTTCTCACATTATTTCATTTAAGCTTTTCATGACCCCTTTTGAGAGGTACTGTCATCCCTATATCATAAAAATGGAAACAGAAACTCAATGAAGGTTCCTGAACTTGGCCAGAGTTATTCAAGCTCATTAGGTACAGGAATGTGTTCGCTTGAAAACAAACCCTCTTTACTACCTATCTTAACTTTCTTAGAACTGAGCTTCCGGATCAACCTTCCCCATTACTCAACCCCTTTTCTAGCTTGCTCAAGAGTCGTGACACATTTGAGGTTGTTTACTTGAGCCAAGTCAGTCACTCTAATTCTTGAGTATGATCTTTGCCGACCTTCTAGGTCATTCTTGCCTTCATAGATGTTACCAGCGTTAATCCTGATTTCTTCTTAGTCTTCCACCTTATCCCCAGACATCTTCAACACTCTTCTCCAGTGGTCTCACCCACAAACATGTCACTCAGCCCACTTAACTG